AGAGAGAGACAGAGAGAGAGAGAGACAGAGAGAGAGAGACAGAGAGAGAGAGAGAGACAGAGAGAGACAGAGAGAGAGAGAGATATTAAAATCTTACATATTAAAACTCATCCTGGTTGAATTCACTTAATTTTACAGCTAAAAGGAGCTCAGAATGTGACTTGCCTAAGAGCCCCAGGGACTGCTACCAGACTTAAGACTGAAGCTTTGCTCACTGGCCTCAGGACAATGCAGTTTCTTGCCCAGCACAAGCAAGGGAAGAGAGGTCAGCCCTGCTACACTTCTGCTAGGAACACAGGGACTCAATATCTCTGCTTCTGTGCACAATTGACACCAAAAGCAGCAGTGCACTCGTGAGGTCACAAGAATGCTGTTCTCATAGGGGCTACAAAAGCACTGCTGAACTCGTGAGCTAGAAAAGTATTGCATTCGCCAAGCCGTGGTGGCACAACCTTAAATTTTAGCACTAGGGAGGCAGAGGCAGGTGGATCTCTGTGCATTTGAGGACAACCTGGACTACAAAACAAGTTCCAAGGAAGCCAGAGCTGGTAGGAAAAAACCCTGTTTCAAAAACAAGCGTTACATTTATGGGGCTACAAAAGCACTGCATTCATAGGGGGTGGGGAGACCAAAAGGAGTGCACTCATCCGGTTTATAACTAAATTTAATCAAAGAAATCCTCAGAATTGACAAAAAGCAAGAAAGAACCATTTGCTATACAGATGATCCACGTTGGGAAAATGTTAATTGCAAAGATACTCACGCAGGTGAACTATTTGGAAAACTTTCCTATCATTGAGATTTCCGCACACTTTGTAACAATGTTTAATGTAATAAAACTAGAGAAGCAATTACTCTGAAAATGAATTATTGCTCGGTATGTTATCCGCATACTCTTTGCTGCTATTATTACTGTAAATGACAGTGGTAATAACCATAAAGGAAATCAGCAGCATACCAACCTTTAGAGGCAGCAGCAATAAAACGCATGGATGACTCAATATGCTACCAGAGACACACAGTCACGTTCATTGATGCTCTAGTCACAAAGCAGGCAAATGGAACCAATCTAGATGTCCATCAACTGATAAACAGATAACAAAAGCATGATACACAGTGGACTGTTACCCAACTGCACAGAAAAATAAAATCTGCAGAAAAATGGGTGAAACTAGAGAAAGTGTAAAGCAAGGTAGCCCAGGATCAGAAAGAAATGCTGTGTTCTCTTGTATACGTGACTCTTAGTTTCTAACGCTACATCTATGCACCTAGGTAGAATAAAGGCTCCAAAACCAGGAAAGGGGCCCATGAGACAGGAAACAGGAGGTTTTCAGAGGGGAGTAGAGAAGACAGCAGAACACATGAGATACTAACTGAAGAGAGAATGTTTATGGAACAGCGCACAGTGGGGAAAGAAATGGCAGGAGCAAAGTCAACCCAAACAAAATAGGTATGAAAATGCCAGAAAAAGTCCATTACTTTAACAACTAATTTTTAAAGTTAAAAAAAGGAAGAACCATGCTAATAATGTAATAAAGGGTGTTAGGGCGGAAAACAAGATGCACAGAGACCTACACAGGACAGTGAAGGGTGCACAGCAAGGCACTTTGGCAGCTTAAGTGTAATAGGTCTAAGAGACAACATCCTCAAGAGATTTGTTAACAACCAAAAGCAACTCACTTATCAGGAATGATCTTCACAATGACTAGTTAGACTTTACTTTTAAAAAAATTTATTATTTTTAATTTATGTGCATTGATGTTTTGTCTGCATGTATGCCTTGTGTCAGATCTTGGAGTTACAGACAGTTGTCAGTTGTCATGTAGGTGCTGGAAATCAAACCTGAGTCCTCTGGAAGAGCAGTCAGTGCTCTTAATCTCTGAGCCATTTCTCCAGCCCAGGTTCAGATTCTCAGAAGGGAAGTGTAGCTTGGTGGTTGAGTAAATGCATGTATAGCATACACCAGCCCTAAGTTTAAGCCGCACCTAACAGAGATGGAAATACACATCCGCTGATACAGAGACAGCACTGGGTGTCAGTGAGGATGCTGAAGACCAAACCCTTCTACCCTGTAGGCAGGAATGTAAAAAACAGAACACTCAGGCCACACAAGTTTGGCAATGTCTTAAAAAGGTAAATATAATTTTACCTTCAGCCCAACAATTCTAGTTCTAAGATCTACTCAAGAGAAAAAAGTAATCCACATGAAGTTGCTACAAGATTACCATGACAGCACTCCAAATAACCAAAAACAGTAGCTAAAACACCAGACAATTGTGAATGCAGTGACATTTATTACCCAGTCAGATTCCAGCATGTGAACTGTGAAGCTACAGATAAGAGACAGAAACGAGATGCAGAAGAACACTGTGTGATGCCGCTGCTATTAAAGGTCCAGAAAGGCAATCTGTAGGAGCAAATGAATGCCAAGGTTATGGGAGGAGCCACGAGTAGATACAAGTGAATATAACAGAGGTTCTTAAAGATTAAATTGTGACAAAGTTTACAAACTCTACAGTTTTATTAAAAATCCAAGTTAGCAACCTAAAATGTGTAAACTTGCGGCTGGAGAGATGGCCTGGGTAACAGGACTGGGTGCTCTTCCAATTCCTTCCCAGCACCCACTGGCAGCTCATAACCAGACACCAGTGTCTGGTACAACAGACCCAAAGTACGCCACAATTGCTTTCTCTGTTACTTCCCCAGTCTCTTGCTTTGACTCACCAGGCCACACGTTTAACTCCCACACTCCTGTCTACAAGACTGACACAATTACCTTTCCATTTAAAGTGGGACACTGACAAAACGGTCAAAAATTGAATATCACTACAAAGAACACATTGCATCTCCCAATACTCCTGATCCTCTTGCCTACCAGTTGTTTTCTTGGGGTGGAGGGGTGTCTCATGTTTCTTAGACTGGCCTCAAACTCACGATGTAGTATGTTACTAAGGATGACTTTGATTTCTGATTCTTCTACCGCCGTGTTAGTATATGAAGTACTGGGTCAAAACCAGGGTTTTGTGCATGCTAGGTAAGTAAGAATCCTACCAACTGAGCTATAGACCCAGGCCCAGTTGCTTGATTTCAAATACTGACAGACTGCTATATCTACTGTAACTAGACAGAAAAGTATGAGAGATGAGCAATCATTAGGTTCAGGGCTGGGAAAGAGAGGACTACAACTGTGTGTTTCCACACCTAAGCTTTAAACAGATACATTAAGGCATACTAGGTACAGTTACAAACACTGTAGGTCATGAAGAGCCATGCAAACTCAGCTCACTTTATAAATAGAAATTTACAAAAATAAAATTACCTAAAATTAAGCCCACCATTGTACTTAAATATCCGGTTCCACTTCCCAGGTTAAGAAATGATAATCCTGGTTGAAGTTTCAAAGCTTCCATAACTTCAGAATAAATGCAAGGTGCGGACAAGTGTATGTTCCCGTGCTTCCAGGCTAAGTCTTTGTACGCATTGTCTCTGTAGCCTTCCAGATAGTAATCTCCGCGGTCAATGGCTCTGAAGGCTTGCTCTACTCTTTCAGTGCGGATGTACTGCGCTTCTTTAAGGTTATCAATTAAGTCATCATTATCTTCCCCAGCACTCACAGCTCCTCCCATGACAGTATTCAAATCAAATCATAAGTTAAAATGTATCGGAATTAGTAGAAAATGGCTTCCAATAATGTGTGCTTTTTCTTTTTAATATTGAACTTGATTTCCAAAAATAAATTAAACCTGGAAAAGAGTAAAAATAAACAAGTTTAAATTAATATGTATTATGATATTTTCCATGAACATATTCTGTTCCAGTCACAGTGTTAAAACAGTCTAAATATACTATTTCACTTAATTCTTGTAACCATAGAAGTTAGAAAAGTGGGGCTGGGAATTTAAATTAACTACATGGTGACCATGATCACATATCCAGAGATTAACTGATCAAACTTACATGCAATTTAAAATTCACTTAGTAAACTTAGAGTCCACGTGCTTAACAGCTACCTGCGGCAGCTCTTACGGGCAGCTGTCAGGTGGCTGGCTTATAGGACAGTGCGGATCTGGAGGATGAGACGGTAGCATTTCAGGACCAGGCCTTTCCGATTCAAAGTATGGCTCTAAACCACTGAGTAATAAGAGTAATTCTAATAAGAGTAATCCTAGTTTAATGACTTAAATTTCCTGACCTTGGAAGCTAATAATTTTACACGGTGTACATTTTAAATATTTAATGTAATAAGATATTTAATTAAATATTAATTCTAATAATATATATTACCTAAACACTAAACATAAAATGCAAAAACAAAAAGGATCCAGGCATGGAGACAATGCCTTTCTGTAATTACACCACTAAGAAAGCAAAGGATAAAGGTTCATGAGCTCAAGGCCAGCCTAGGTCCCAAATTAAAAAAGCCAGATTCACTGTTTTAACACATGCACAAACACAATCACTGCTCTGATAATTTTGTTATAATAAATATTGACACTATTAGTTTTTATTAACAAGTTTAATGTTTAGCACTGGAACACCATGCGCACAAATGCTTAAAAATTAAAATTAAAAAACTCTTGAAAGTAATGTCTAGATGCTTAAGATATAAAGGTTTCCAGAATGAGACTTCTGGAAGTTAACAGCAGACTGACATCTCTTCATTGCAGTGACACTACATAGAATAATCTCTGTGGGAAAAGGATACTGTATACTCTTTTCATTAGGGTGATAGAGGCGGGGCAAGGACCATTCATCTCATCATGAATCTGAATAAATGACAGCTGAATGAAATACTTCAACATCTTTCAAACAATGAGGACACCATGTAGGGTGACCCTGCCCTCTGGTGAGAGGGTTCCTTAGTGACTCTGAGGGCACAGAAGCCCCAGATGGATCTCCTACTTTAACAAGAACGGGGTCAATAGTGCCAGGGTTGGCTGGCATCACTTCTTTGGGAACACAAGTTTTTCACTTTCACTTCCTTCCTTGCCTGCATTCACAATTCAGAAACTGACCCACGAGTGTCTCTGAACTGATTATACTCATGACTTTATACAACTTACATAGTATATTTAGTATGATGTATTAAAATTCTCTATCAAGATCAACTCAGATTTCCACTCAAAGATGCTAGTGTTTGAATGAAAATGTCCCACACAGATTCACAAAGACTGGAACTACTGAGAGTATGGCCTAGTTAGAGGAAGTGTGTCACTGGGAATGGACTTTGAGGTTTCAGATGCTCAAGCCAGGCCCAGCGTCTCTCTCTCTTCCAGACGACCTGCCCATCCAGGTGTAGAACTCTCAGCTACCTCTCCAGCACTATACCTGCCTGCATCCCACCATGCTGATAATGGGGTAAACATCTGAACTATAAGCCAGTCCCAATCAAATGCTTTCCTTTATAAAAGTTGTCATTGTCGTGGTGTCTCTTCATAGCCAAAGAAACCTGAACTAAAACACCTAACCACCTGGGGAAGCCAGAAGACATCAGATCCCTTGCAGCTGGAGTTACAGGTAGACGTGAGTCACCTGACATGGGCGCAAACCTTGGGTCCTTAGGAAGAATAGAGAGTGTCTTAAACACTGAGCCATCTCTCCAGTTCCCAGGATTGTTTTACTTTTAAAGTGACATAATCTCTAAGTACATCTGAAAAGCCTAAGAATAAGAATACAGAAATGTAGGTTCCAGAAATAGGAATGTAGAAATAAAGAAATATAAAGTTGTAAGCCTAGGAGAATGAGAACAGACTGTCAGCAGCTTTCTCAGCAGCTGAAGGATTAATTATTAACAGTGGCTTACTTTGATTTACATCCCACACTTCTTTCTGCATAGCTGAAGCAGCCCTCTACAAAACCCCTGGCCACTCATGACCAGCAACTGATGTGAGATGTGAGCTGAGTTAACTTTTAAGTGATGGGATGTACCTGACTTTTTGATTGTGCACTGTTCCATACCCCTTCCTGATACACAAAACTGAAGTATCAGGGGAGTGTAGAGCTTTGATAAACACCATCAGGAAGAGGCAGAGAGAAGCAATGGGTTAAATACAAACACTAGTCTAACTGAAAAACCCTGTTAATGGAAATTGGTTTAAAAAAATTGTATCCAAGTTTTACCTTGATATTGTAAAAATTCTTCTGTTCATGCCTAATGCTTGCTTCTTGCTATAAAACGGGGAGGTCGGAAACAGCCCATGGCCACAGCAATACAAGCCCATCTCTGGCTGTGGTCACAGCTAGAGCTGGTAAGTTTCTGGTGCCCCATGAAAATTTTTTCTCTTTTTCTAGAATAAAGTGTGCTTCTGGTTTAATAGGTTTTGGTGGTCTGTCCCTCATCTTTGCATAACCCCAATACCCAACACATCTGTCAACTTTTTCATTTTGTACTCAAAGAATGAATCACTTCTCATAACAGGAGTTTAAATGACTACATTAGACAGAGAAGCAGTATCTGTTGGTATCTAATGTGGCACTTGCCAAACAATTTTACAAGAGTAGTTTGGATTACAAACATTTAACAAATGACTTGACTGTAAATGATACATTTCCCAGATGGGGGAAAAATGATTTCCTCAGTATTAGTTCCAAAGCTCAAGGTTGAATTAAGAGTGGCAGGGCCGCTGCATCCCCGGCACCGGGCCGCCCACATGGCTAGCTTATGCCCGAAATAATTACATGGAAACTGTATTCTTTCAAACACTGCCTGGCCCGGCTAGTTCCAGCTTCTTATTGGCTAGCTCTTACATATTGTTCTAACCCATTTCTAATATTCTGTGTAGCCCACGTGCTGGCTTACCAGGGAGGATCTTAACCTGCGTCTGTCTGGAGTGGGAGAATCATGGCGACTCCTTCACTAAGCTTCTTTCTCCCAGAATTCTCTTCTGTTTTCTCCACCCACCTAAGGGTTGGCCTATCAAGGGGCCTAGGCAGTTTCTTTATTAATAAGAAATCACTCCCACATCATTTCCCCTTTTTCTGTTTAAACAAAAAAGAAAGGCTTTTAACAGGATGGCGCCCAGACGTGATGGGCTAAATCCACTTAAAAACCTGAGAAGGCTTAAAAATAAGGGAGAGAGAGTTTAACACAGATTTTTGCTGTTTGTTCATGGCGTGCTGAAGAGAAATTTCCTGGTTCCGCAACAGCAGCAGAAAAAACGCTGCGTCATTTTAAAGCGCTGCTTCCTGGGGCTATGCTGCCAGCGTGAACTCTGGCTTTAATGCATTTCAAGGCTTTTATGGGACTGGATGTTTCTGTTCCAGCTTGGGATCGGAGGAGAGTGCTCTGAGACCATGCCCATGGCTCAGCACTCCCCGCCTGCACCTAGGCGGATGGCAGAATCAGGCTTAGACAGGCTGGAGAGCATGGCGGATTCCTGCCGCCATACAGAGACTGTGCATTGCTCTGTGTGTCAGATTTGGCTGTAACTTGGATGAAAAGAGTTTCTGTGCTGCACACTCAGTCTCAGAATTAAACTGCTGATTGCGGCTCCAAAGTGGACTGCTGTGTGCCTGGAACTGTGAATGGTTCAGGGGCACCAAATGGATCTGAGGCAGGAGCTGCTGCTCCATGCTGAACTGTGCTGACCTCAGGCAGGAACTACCGTAATTACTGTAATAACAGCGCAGTTAAGGTTTATCTGGGCAGGACACAGGCGGTACCGAATTGCCTGTACAAGGTGCAACTTAAGTTTTTAAAAAGTGCTTAACATTTTAAAAAAATGCTCCTGGATAGTAAAAAAAAATTACAGATTCACAGTAAAACAGATTCAGACACTGTTGGATAAATGTACGTAGGCTTGGGAGAGAGAGAAAAAAAGAATATAAAGAATAAAGTTAATGTCTTGAAAAAGGGTAAAGTCCTTAAAGAGACAGAGTACAGAAGTACAGATAGTTATAGATTAAGAGAAATAAAGAAAAATAAGCCACGTAAAAATGAAAAATTCACAGAGAGTCTGGATTATGTACATTGTGTTTTCTTTAAAATTTTTGACTGTGAAGGAGCTAAGTACAGAGAGACATTTCATTATATGGGCTGCTAAGCTAAACCTGCACATATGTTCTAAAGGTATCTTGACTTCAGAATTTGGATCTAAGGTTATGATGCTTTGGAAAAGTCCTTCTTTTGTTTTTACAGAGGATGTGACCCTGTGGATTGCATCTATCCCGATATGGTATGATAGACCACGCCCTCCTGAAAGGTTGCTGTGAACACCCTCAAAAAATTGCTTCGCTCAATTGCCAACTGAGATGAAACTAGCACACAGGTTATATCATGAACGACCTAATTAACGATGCCCATATTCAGCAGGAAGCAGTTTGGAGAGAAAAAACTACGCCCATGTTCCCAAATATTGTTTATAAATGTTCTTTTACATTTAAAGGGGGATATGATATAGATATGAATAATTTGCATTGGTATGGATTTTAAGGTCAATTTTGTTATATGTATATGTATTTTTGATCTTGATTAAGGTATTGTGATTGTGTAGTTCATTTAAAATGTAATGTATAATTAGGAAATATAGGTTGTTAATGGATAATCATCGCTAATAGTTAAGCTTGTAGTCATGTTAGATTTTCTAGATATATAGAGATATATTTCAATTAGATAGGCATTCTTCATATCTTTCAAAGACTGCAGAATATGGCATTTAAAATATTTTAATAACTTATGGTTTTTCATGACAATGAGACGTCTGCTCCTGGCAGCACCAATCTACTTCAAAAGCAAGATGGGCAT